TTATATTCACTAGAGAATATTTACACTCACAATTAAAAAAATTTTTTTTTCCAACAACGACATCTAAATAGCTGTGGGAAAAACAAATTATTAGCCTGCTGCTCTCTACTTGAATAGTGATCGTAACTGAACAATAATGATGCAGCAATACGCTTGGTCAACTTGTAAAAATTTAGAGCATTCTGTTGTTTGCCCATAAAACAAATTTTGGAGTATACAGTACGATTTCAAAACATTGTCATCGTAAAGAAACAGCTATAATATTGAAAACAAACAACTTGAAACAGAGTCGGTGTACTGATTTAAATAAATATTTACAATAGATTTTAATGGTCAACTTGTCAACCAATTTTTACATACATTTGTGAGTGACGGTGTTTAATAGACATGCAAAACTAACATTAGCGGTTAGCTGTATAATAGGCCTATCTGTGAATATCATTTTATACTGATTCATTCATATGCTTGGTCATCTTGTAACAATTTAGAATTCAACAGCTTTTAATAATAGGGTCCGTATCTCTACACTTCTAGACGCAGTATCAAATAATAGTTGCCATAGACCCGGTTTCATACACACTCGCTTTTAAAAGTAAATTTCAAAGGAAACAGTTTTCCCAATTTTTCTTATTGTTAAATAATCCTATGCAATACTGTAGGCCCCTGGTATAAAATTGAGAGATCAATTAGACACTCTGTAAAGATCGATTATGCCCTTTTATATAATATTGTAGGCCTAGGCCTAATGTGTGTGAAGTACTGACTTATACAGCTTAAGGCCTACAGTACAAAACATTACAGTATATAATTCATTGAAAAAACTTTATAATGAAGGACTTTTAAATGAAGTTTATGTATATATACTAACATTTTGCGAATCTTGGGTTTTTGTAGACTCAATCTTGAATTTTGATTTTCCCTAGTGGTCACGCTGCATTTAGAGACAGAATTATACCCCGACGACATCAAACTAGTGTAGGCCTAGGATTAATTATTATTAATCAGTATGTATTAGGTTAAAGTCTTAAAACAATAATTTGGTTTTTTTTTTAAAGGGTGGGGGGGGAGCCGTTATGCGAATTACGTATGACCCCGGCGGGGTCAAGGGGGCGAATCCCCCTGTGAAGTAACGCACTCTGAACGTTCTTAGGACTGTTTGAGAGGATAAAGTGAAATTGCAATATGGTTGGGGCTGAGGTAAGAAAATTTATGATTAGGGCATCTCTAGATGGCCGGAAATTACACTCTCGCACTTCAATTTAAATATATATTTTTTTTCCCTTAAAAAAATGAAGGGGGGGGGGGGGCTTGAATCCTCTGCTCAAAACATTCTTTATCCAGAATAGTCATAATCACGAAAAATGGACATGAAAAACCAGATCACATCCTAAAAACAAACAGCAGTCACTAAGACATACATCAGGAGCCGACTCGATGGAGTTCAATGTCATACCCAGGGAAGGGCACAGATCTGTTTTGAAAGGTGGAGGGGGAGGGCGTTTTGTAAGTCGACACCCACCCCAGCCCCACAATGGTTGGAGCTGAGGTGAGAAAATTTGAGGAAATAGTACCTCTAGATGGCCAGAAATGACACTTTTAGTAAAATTCATCATCATCACATCACCATTAGTCAAAATGAACCAAGGATTTTTGACAACCATAGAGATCTTATTAATGTGTGTGTATACACCATAGAAAACAAAGCTTGAAAACATTGTCTTTGAGTATGTACTTTACATAGGTCTACTTCAGAAACGTGATTTCACAACCACCTCAGCCCCACCATGGATGGGGCTGAATTGAGAAAATTTGAGGAAATAGTACCTCTCGAGATGGCCGGAAATGACACTTTTATATAATAAAATTCATCATCATCACATTACCATTATAGTAAAAATGAAACGCCAACAAATTTCTCATGATCTTTTATCAGGAATCTACTTAATATCCAGGACAACTTAGGCATAATTATAGCTTACTAAGCTTTAACTATATACACTATAGTATGATCAACAAATCACAACTTTTTTTCGCATTTAGCACAATTTTCTTAACTTTTTATTGCTATTAATATTATTATCAATTATTATTATCGTCATTATCATCATTGTTATTATTATTATTATTACTATTAGTAGTAGTATTATTAAACAAACATTTAAAGAAACTTGCAAAAGGATAAAAACGAAATTGAACCACAGTATCGCATTTCTATCTTAAAAGACATGGCCTGAGATTTATGGATTTAAGATTTTTTTAAATCACGCTTAAGCTTATGTGTTCTATTAGGCCTATGTATAGCGTGTACTGATGCATATTTACATGTTTAGAAGTATTCATTTTAAGTGATCCCAGGAAAGAATTTGTATTGGCTCAAGAATAAGCTTTAAAATGTTAACACTGTGTACAAAGGGGGGGGGGGAGAGCCGCGGCTCCCACGGCACCCCCCTGGATACGTCCCTGGGCCTGTCTAGCAACAGGCTTGGTAAGTAGTGGTAGGTGCCAGTGAAGGATTTTGAGTGGGGGCGCATTTATATCACAATTTTTATATTTATTTCATTTGTTTTAATTGTTGTTGAGATAATTGTAATATGAGTCCTCTGAAAGAAAGTTTAGTTAATTTATATCTTGTGTAAGTCACATCGCAATGGGTAGCTACAAAGACAGCTTACGCACAGAAGCACTAGGATGGAAACTTTCGTGCAATCAATCACTGTCTATCGATATCAGCCAGTATGTGCTGTCAGGCTACCATGCTGGACCACATTGACTACTAACTACCGTATGTGTGCACATCTCCCATTGACGACACCCGTTGAATAGACTCAACACTTTTAATAAAGTACAGTTTTTGTGTAGACGACACCCCAGAAATACTCTCGCCTTCATCAAGTAGGGCCCTTAACGAGTAGGGCCCTCACCCAGTCGGGCCACCACCCGGCCGGAGTCCTACATAGTCTTTCCGTCTTCACCCCCCAAATCACCCTCAAGTAGTTAAAATTCCTTTATTTTGTGAGCTACTTCCCCCTCACCTAACCACTGGTCAGTGAGTGAGGGGTGAAGACTGGTCGACATTTGCGCCCCCTCCACCCCAGCCATAATACTAACCCTAAACCGAATTCAAAATACTATCAGAATTCAATAAATTCTCGTACAACAGTGATCACTCCCTCTTCATTATTACTCCCGCGCTGGAACCTCAATAAAACAGGGGCAGACAGATAAAGCCCCAAACCGGTACTTATTCCTACAGATTAGCCGCTAAATAATAATAGAGAAGGTATAACAATCCAGTCGTCTCAGGCGAAATCTCTATCATGAATCCTCCCTCCCTAACTACTGTACTCCACTTATATAGTTAATTTGCATACCGTATCTTACCCCAAACTACAGGACATCGGAGGGCCAATTCAATTGGTTTAACTAGGTTTGGGCAGATCCACTTCCTATCTGGGTTTAGTTTATTCCCCATGAAGATAACGACCCCGAGGAAAATCCAAAATTCCGTTAAAATACATTTAAAGGAAAATTTGATTTCTCAAACAATACTTCTTATTTTATTTTGCATCTTATTGGCTGCTTAGTAGTTATACGGTCAAAATGCTTCCTCTGTGTAGTGAAGAGATTAAAATCGAGTGATAAGTAGGTCTACAAAATGCACTGAAATTAAATTGGTTCAAATAAGTAAATTAAACTTTAATGAGTAGTCCTTGATAAGACGTGAAACTACATCTGGTCGAATTGTCGGCGATTAAATGTGGTAAAACAAAATAAATAAAACAAATATAACCTAATCTATTCCTTAAATTAAACTTATTCTTTAAACTCCCTCCCCTAGGTAGCCGTAGTCGGTTTAGTCTAGACCAGATGCAATTTATACACAGGACTATTAACTATAGCCTAAACTAACCTTAACAAATAAGAAGAATACAACGAAATATTAATTAATTTGTGATGAAAACCACTACAAGCAAGGGAAGTTTTATTTATCTATTTCAACAGACACGCTATGATTTAGAAATGTGTGTCTTAAGCATTTTCGTAAAACGTGGTATAAAAAGGCATATCTCTTGCTGCTTCAGGAAATGTGTGATGATGAGATGAGCATATAGAGGAGTGTATAGCCTGATGCGTTTTACATAAACATGTTTTAATAACAATAGGGGTTCGTTTAACTTAAGAATTTTGAAATTAAAATATATTTAAAGTTGTTGTGATATGTGTTCCTTTGGAAGTTATAATATATTAAGCCATTATTCACAAATCTTAAATGACCTCACTGGAAATTCAAATCAAATTATCAATTCTGATGAAGAGTTAACTTTCGTTATTTTTTATTTTTATTTTTAAAATTTTTTTTAGCAGTATCCTTTTCTTTTGGGGTATTTCCCAGCTTAGTAGATCATTATGATTGTACTGAAATCTTTACTCTTGTACCTTATTAATTTGATCCAATTGTAATTCTTGAATATTTTCTACATTACATATTGATAAACCCCGTATGAATATTTCATTTCGGTTTTGTATAAACCTATCTCATAAAAAAAATGTATTTCAAATAAGTAAAGTACTATAATAGGAAGGAAAAGGAACACAAGACGCCACTATATTAAAAAACTGATATTATTCCATGCTCATTTATTATTATGAAACAATGTCTGGTAGTGAAGTAATTGTAGAAACCGGAATGACAATTGAGCTATAAAGATATTCATAATGAATCTTCTAGACTAGTGCAATGATTACAGAATGGTAAAACATTGTTTGAGTGGTTTGTAAACAAAGCTAATGTATGAAAATAAACAATTTATGAAAATAAGACATAAGCTAAAGAGGTAATGTTCTTGCTTTTTGCACCAAAAAAGTCCGGCGAAGGTATAATTGACAAGTATACTTTAAACTACAGAACGTATATTCCTACATGATTTTAACTGCTATCAACGAATGATGATATAGATTTGTTTATAACTTAAATCATCATTTTTTTTTATTCCCTCCAGGAAAATCCACAATGGATACCAAAGAACTTATGCCAACGAGAGTGTATCCACTACATAGCACGACCATCCGACAAAAAGGATGAGTAAATATTATATTATTATACTTTACCTATGATTTTAAGTTCAAGGTTAGACCTACTTGTAACACACTGAACTAACAGTTACAAGCAATTATTATGTATCACATAGCCATACAAGTTTACAGCATTTCAACAACTCAATGTTGTTTCATTCACTATAACAGATTGAAATAGTTTCAAGTGGTACTCTATTAACAAAAATTAATTTCATCGCACATATATTCAATTGAGATCTTTTATTCATTTTTTTGTTCTCAAGTCTTGTGTTTTTGTGCTATGTAATTTTTGCGGATATTGGCCCTCGAGGCGCATTTGTATAAATAAATAAAAATAAATAGATGAGTAAAATCAGAAAACAAAAGATTGTAACATAGAGATTGTAAGGTTATTTATTTCTGGTACAGATAAATAATGACACTTGAGGCGCAAAAAGTATAACAATAATGTGTTTAATTATTGTTAGTCATGCTCAGGTCTACGTGTTGAATAATACGTAGTTGCTAAATACGACCACTTCCGCCGAGTGAGGCGTGGCTTCTTATGGTGAAGTCTTCTGAATCTGAATCTGGATATTTAATGACAGACGACCCCAATGGGGTATAGGCGTCAGTGTGCGTCATGCATAATTGTAGTACACCAAAATACCAAACAATAAAACCTATAAAATTCAAAACACATTGCTAAGAACACTTTTGATTAAAATTATCAGGCACTGAACAAAGAAATGACATGTAATAATATTTAAATATAAAATTTAAAGTTAACTTTAAAATATTGCACACACCAAGAAAATTAAAAGACAAATAGGTAACAAAATAGAGAAATATTGAACATTAAAAATACTACAAATTGAAAATTGGAAAATATAAAACATCATTAACTAGAAAAATTAAATTAATTTATTGCACAAGAATTATGTAATTAAAAATTTACCGTTTGAGCAAATTGAAAGAAAATTTAAATTAATATCAAATTTGGAAAATATGCAATCAAGGATAAACAACAAAAAAAAAATAAATCACCCAAAGAAAATTAATAAATAAATATTGCAATTATAAAATTTTCTGGTAGGCCAACTTGTCATCAGAATGAGTGATGTTTTCAAGTAGACGGTATAATTATGCATGGCATCACCATACAAGCCACGCCTCCGCTGAAGTGGTTGTATTTAGCAACTTTAAATGGTTGCTAAAAGAAGGATAAATAATAAGTTGTCCATGTGTGTTTGTGTGTGGTTTTTGTTTTTTTGTTATTTTTTTTAGAGAGAGGTGGGAGTTTTCAGTGCATGTCTTTCAAAATATGATTTTTGTGTAGCCTGTCGCTGTTTGAAATCATTGGCGGATCTGAGGGGTTCAGGTGGTTCTGACCCCTCCCCCTCCCCCTTTATAGAATATTTTTAATAAATTTTTTTTTAAATCAAGAAAATAAATAAATAAATTCTAGACCTACCTTTTCAGGACCCATTAGCGGATTTTTTGTTTGGGGTTCATCGATTTATGGAAAAAAGAATACTTATGCAACTACTATTTTTTTTCTGTGTATACCGGCACACATATAATAGGCCTATTTACTGTAATAAGAATGAGAAAAATTTACTTGACCGTTTACAAAAGGGAGAAATTTTAACTAAAAAGTCATTAAAAACCGTTTAGAATTCGGGAGAACTCATTTCTCGCCATCTAGAAATCAACCTTTTCCCGGGGGAAGACTCCCCATCTCCCGTTCTATTTGGGGTTCATCGATTCATGGAAAAAAAACATATAGCCTATGCAATGACTCAATTTTTTTATGTACTGTATATACACTCATAATCAAGATTTGTACAACTGTTGCTAATAAGAAATTAATTGCTTTATGGTCTTAATGAGTACAATCTCTAATTCCAAGGACAGTGTTACAGTAGATAAAACACCATGAACACAGATTCTGTAAAAGTAGTTTCAGTTTCAAAACATGCTGTGTGGGGCCTGTTACACACCAATGCATGCTACAGCCTCAGAAAGCAACAGTTTCGTCCTGCATCTTATTTATTTTGCTTCATCTTTTTTGGTGAATTTTCTTTAAACTTTTATAATATGGTAGTAATTTGTATTTAATGTAAAATTGCATTGTGAAAAAACCAGTATGGTGATATTGTACTGTATAGCATGGAGGTTTATATTTTCATTTTAATGTACCTCCATAGTTTAAGAACTTAAATTCTTCAGCTTTTCTCAATTTTTTTTTTGTCAGCTTTTCCATATGAAATCATGTTTGCATACAATAATACAGCAAACTAAGATTTAATGATAGAACTCAACGATACAGAATGAGTTTAAATTAAGTCAAATTGAAAAGCAATTTAATTAATTCTACCAGACATTATTATAACATTTATTAACTCCACCAACGAAGTTGGCAGGAGGTTATGTTTTCGCCTGGTTTTCTTTTTATTTAGCTATTTATGTGTCTGTCGGCATATTTGTTGTGAACAGCCTACAGCCCATATAAGTGGCTAAGATTTGAAAAAAATGAACAAAACCTCATTCCATGATTGTTGCTTATAACCTATATTAGAATAACAATCATTACCGTACTATACTATCCTTTCATAAACTTAGTCAAGTCACTTAATTTTACCATCAGTTGTTTGGGAACTTTACTGTTAATTAATGAGTTACAAATTTGATAAGCAACAGCTAAAATAAAAACAACCAGAGCTTCCTTTCCCAATGAGTTACAAATTTGATAAGCAACAGCTAAAATAAAAACAACCAGAGCTTCCTGTCCCAGTGGCGACTGAGAAAAACTGTTAGATAGTAATTAATTTGTTTAAAAGGCTAAAATATTTTTTGAGTTCAGCTCACAAGCCAAAGATAATATCTGAGCCATGAATCAACTCATTATAATGTTTTTGGTAATTTCAAATTCTACTTTTTATTGTGCTACACAACATTATTGAGCTACTGAAAACACAACATTCTGTAAATTTAAGTAAAGAATACATATCAATATTTTGTTTACACCATATTTGTCGTTGTCACAAGGTAAAGAGAATGTTTAAACAATACGAAATTGCATTCAGTGTAATTAACACACGTCAGTAATGTAAGCATTTAAAAAAAATACATGTACTTTGTACAACGGTAAGTTTATATAATGTTAACATAGTTAAACTATGGATGAATAAGTACTAAACATATTCCTCCATAGTTAAACAAGTTAAGTAACATTCATTTAATGTACTATATTTAATAAATAGGCCTATTATACTACCAACAACCAACATAGACTTTTAAATAAAAGTAGGCGTAACAGTCGTAGAAAAGTATCACTAAAGGGCACTCTGAGCACAAAAGTACTGTAGAGGAGCAGGCGTGGTAATAATAAAATCATCGCATCCTTCTTTTGCTGCTCCTTATCAGACATAATATTTCCGCTTCTTGCCGAAGTATTACTTGATGCGACCAAATATGGGTATATATTGAACGACGAGAAAATAGGTGTGATGTTCAGGTCAAAAGAGAAAGTATGTTAAAAAGAGATTTCCTGTTTTCTTTCCTCTATTTCTTTTGTAAACCCGGATGCACACTTAAAATTACTTTTCTGCAATGTGTTCTTAGGCGTCATCAGTATTTCGAATGCATCAAGAGTCATTGATTTTAAAAATATACACAATTAGAATTTTCATAATTCATAACAATGAATGATTAAAAGGTAAAAGAAAAAATTAGAGAATAGAATAAAAAACATATTTTACTATTAGGTAAATTGCTACATTTCAATTCATTTTAAGTCATTACGTAAAGGCATTATTTTTTTAATTTATTTATTTTGTTTTCTTCCTATTCATTTTCATAACCTTAGTTACATTTTTTAAATCTTTCAACTTCCTTCATCTTTCCATGTTTCCACTTTTTACATAAATTCTCGATATATTTTTAGTTTTGTTCTTGGGTTATTATATTCAATTCAGAAGACAATACATATTTTTTTTTTAATTATGTTTTTTCATCCCATTATTTTTCAGATTCTATCAATTTATTTGCAGTATCTTTGCTATAAACCTTCTGTTTATATTTTCTACAATTTTTCATTTCTGCTTTCCTTTTTTCATACGAATTTTCATTATTCCTATTTTACTTTTTGTTTAATTTTATTTTAGTTTACATTTTTAACCATATACATCTGTATACACATTGCATGTATTCATAATGGTCACTATACACATATCACTTTATGTTCATTACAATAATAAGAGGGAAAATTAAAGAAAAATTAAATGAATTACATTTTTCAATTTACGTTTCTCTGTTTATATTTACCAGTAAATTTTCAATATTTTCCTCCTTTTCCAGGTTGCTAAGATAGAGCCTTGTATCATTTCCCACTTCTTTTT